AAAAAATCCCTAAGTTTGTTTTCCTCTTAAGGGGGCAGCCTCTCTTTTCCTTTTTTTTTTTTTTTGGCTTGACAAGTCCGGTGCAGCTCTTCGCATTTTTTCCGCTGCTATTTCGGCTCTCTTCCTCAAATGGGTTGGCCACCCCCGGGCTAGTGTTTCACTCAGTCCCGGGGGGCTCGCTCATGGTGCGGGGTTGCATGGATTCCCAAATCGAGGGTCAGGAAGAGCAGGCAGGCAGCAGCTCTGGAGCATCACGTTGGTGCATCCCATGCAGTTAACACCCTGTGATTACTGCAGTCCTTGCACACGGATGGAACGGGACCCTCCCGCTCCAAACTCAGTACGCGCCCTCGGTAAGAATCGATCCCAGAACCCTAGGGCCGGAAGAGACCTCAGGAGTCATCGAGTCCAGCCCCCTGCCCAAGGCAGGACCAATCCCAACGCCTGACCATCTCTGAAGCAAGCATGGCTGCTATCACCAAGACAAGAGATCACGCCTGGTGTGGCGGGGGGGAGGTCTAGGTTGGATATTAGGAAAAACTATTTCCCTAGCAGGGTGGGGAAGCACTGGGCTGGGTTCCCTAGGGAGAGGGTGGACTCTCCATCCCTAGAGGAGTTTAAGTCCCAGCTGGACACAGCCCTGGCTGGCTGAGCTGGGATTGGTCCTGCGTTAGGCAGGGGGCAGGACTCGATGACTCCTGAGGTCTCTGCCAGCCCTGGGGTTCTGGCATCGACAGCGAGACATCTCGGACGGGACCCCAGCCTGCAGACGACAGGGCCCTGCTCGGGAAAGCTCCCGCTCCTATTCGCACAGGCATTGCTTTCCAGGCCAGATCCCCGTGACCATTCCAGCACGCCCCGGCTGACCACAGCAGCACCCCTGCCCCGCAAGCTTCAACACAAGGCACGGATGGGTTTTGCGGTTGGGGTTTCATGGCAGCCAGCACTGGGAGCATTGTTCGCAGGCTTGGCTGAAGGGGAGACCAGCCTCGTGACGCTCAGCTGCGACCTCTGCTGGGGACCAGAAGCAACAACGGACGAGGCATGGAGAGAATTCGACTTCCTCTAGCTCGGCTCAAGGAAGCAAGAACAGTAGCAGCAACGCAAAAAGTAACGGGGATGGAGAGAGGCATTTTACAAGAGGATCAACAGCTCTTTTGCAGAGGTTTGGCAGCCTCTGACATGGACCTTACCCCTAAGGATCTCCCTTAGCATATGCATGAAGGAGCCAGCTGGGTGGGAAGAGGCCCATGACTATAGTAGCTTATCAAAGTGCATGCAGATCCCAAGGACAAAGGCAGACTATCTAATCAAGCCTGAGATAAGACACCCCAGGGCAGTCCATACTGCACCCTTGTGACCACAGCAGGAGCCTGGGAGCTGGGAAGAGCTTCCTTCTTGGTGGAGCTGATCGGAGCCACGACTCACTTGGGCAGATTGCTCGTCTCTTCAGACAACCCAGCCAGAAAACGGGGCTAAAAGCAGGCGCCACCTTGGAACCTGAAGCTGGAACACAGGGGAGTCCCTGCAGCATGAATCTCCCCCCTCCCCCCAGCACAAAACTGGCTACAATGCAACCCCCTGCAGGGACTTCCATCACCACGCCAGGGCCGTCCCTGCCCGGCTCCACCACCCAGGCACCAGCATTGCCCCCAAGAACACCGTGCAGCAGCCTCGGCTGGCAGGGATCGCGGCTCTGTTCGCCACTGCAGAATAACGGTTCCACAGAAAGATCTCTGATCCTGTCCAGGCTGAGCTACAGCATTGTAGACAGGCCGGTCAATTTCCCCATGTGGCCAAGCAAGGACCCTGTGCCTGAGAAAGGGACGGTTGTTTGTCTTCCCAGTCACAAGAAACCCCACTTCTTCCAGCAGCGAAGGGGGAGGACTGCTCTCCCATTGGTCAGTTATCGCACCGTGCACGGCCACCCACACACTCAAGCACTTGCCACCGCTCCGATTTTAAAGGGAAGCTAAGCCTCGGATGTGGAAAACAGGCGTTTACAGGACTGATCAAAGAACAGGCGCCTGGTCTGGTCGATAAAGGGAACCGGAGGGGTCTGGAAGTGGGTGTAGGCAAGGAAAAGTCACCTCTGCATGAGAGAATCTGCTCAGATTGGGTCGAAAGCCCTGGAGATGTTGGTTTGGTATTTGCAGGGCTCCCTGCTAATGCAGATTCTTTCCCCTTACTCCAGGGGTGGGGAACCTCCGGCCCTGGGGCCGGATGCGGCCCACAGCTCGCCTGGAGTTGGCCTTCTGAGGCTCAGGGACCCCCTAGTGTTAGGGAGCCCGCGCTGACGCCCCAGCCCCCTCCCAGTCCCACCATGGGGCTGGAGCACACGAAATCTACTATGCAGGGCCCCCTTAGGCTCCGTTGTGTGAGGGAAATGGGGGGAGGGTCTTTCTCCTTCGCAGTCGGGGGGTCACGTCACTGAGGCTGGGTTTGGGTTTTTTTTTTTTTTGCTGCTTCTCACTTGTGTGTGGCCCCCGACTGATTTTTCCGTGGGTCAGCAGCCCCCAGTCCAAAAACGGTTCCCCAGCCCTGCCTTACGCCCTTAATGAAGTGCAGTAAAGATGACGCACTGGGGCTCCTACATGCCAACATTACGCCGGCCGTGGTGGGTGGCGCTATGAAGTTCTCCCTCTTGTCCTGGGCAGGCCAAGACTTTGTTCAGAGTGCAGCACAAGGAGGGGCGCTTGGCCGACCCACGCTGGGTGCCTCCAATCCTGTCTGACCCACAAGGGAAGGGTCACTTGCCCCTGCAGCAGCAGCACCTCAGACAGGAACACGGCATTGCATTTCAGGCTGCACGGGAACTTTGCCGCCATTCGTTGATTCCAGCAGGACATGGCCGGAAGAGCTAGCTAGGCTGGCACCCCCCTGAATCACAGAATACTAGGACTGGAGGGGACCTCGAGAGTCATCAAGTCCAGTCCCTGCCCTCATGGCAGGACCAAGCACCCACTAGGATCAGTGTTTCTTAAACTGTGGTCTACAGAGTTCAAAATGGCTGCCCATAAAGGCGCAGGTGACTTTTTTTTT